CCATGTCTGATCGTAAACTCCACATCTCGCTGTTGTGATTACCGCGTAGCATTTGTGACCCTCATAGCACTGGTTTCTTGAATCGCTCGCAAGTTTGACTCATAACAACCAAACGAGTGAGTGTAGGAAAAGTCTTCTACCAGAGATCGTGTGCGAAAACGGAGAATAATGACATCGCAAAAAAGGCCAACCCGCTATGATTGATGATTCTGAGAGTGAAAATTATATAATTTTACAAGGAAGCAAAATACGAAGTTTTCTTTGAACAACATATCTGAAAAAGACTCATAATCCAAGCTGCGTTGGCAGGACATGAGAATGCTTCCGTCGTGCGGACCCTGTCTCGGCAATCGAGGTTCCGCTGGTCAGATCGATCCTGGCCTTTCTGCTCGCTAACGACTTGACGAATTCCCTCATCTTAGGGACATCCAATGCATGCCTTAAGCCCAGCATCTCAGCTCTGTCCTTGCCCGCCTCTTCCACATCAGTTCGCAAAGGGCCATAAACCTCACGACCATCGACTCTGACACTGGCTCGGAAACCCTTGTTCATACGTCTTACCCCCACTGGTGCCGTATAATCCGACTTCTGATTCCTGCGAGACCCAAACCTGCTAGCACCGCTACCTTCTGCGGCACACTTCATCTCTTCAACTACATCCAGGAGCTGAGCATTAGACAGGCCTCCTTCGCGTTGCACTCTACGAATCCGCTCTCGATCGAGGAGACACTCTTCCAATGTCGACCGATAGGGACCAGTAGCCTGTTTCCGCCCTGCTCGCAGACTTGTGACGTAACCGTTGACTCGTCGTATCACCTTGATAGATGATTTATATGGGATGGCAGTACTCTGTGATGCAGAGTTCAGAGAAAGGCTCGGCTGGTGAGGATAACGATACGTTCCTTGACTGCTGAGGTGACCAACGAACGGCGTTGTCACGTCAGTCATATCAGGGAGTGACGTAAATGGTCCTCCTCCCGGAGCAACTCCTGGCCTTGAAGCATAACCCATTTGGATCGATCCACCCAAACCAGCATCGAACGGAGGTACTACCATCTTATCACCATCAGCAATACCAGAGAGAAGTCGATAGTCATACCCCCCATGTAGATCCATATTGATT